TGCTGCTACTCGTCGCGAGAAGAAGATGAGGGAGAAGAGAGGAGCGGCGATCATCGGAGCAGCCTTCTATTTGTTGTTAACGGATCCACCGGAGGGAGAGGACGGAGCCGCCGGAGGGAGAGAAGGAAGAGAGAGAGAAGGAAAGAAGAGAGAGGCGAGAGGGGAAAAATGGATTGATAAAATTAGGTTTTAATATTAATATATTTATTAAAATATAAAATTATTAACCTAATACAATTATGATTAAAAAACTTTAGTACCTGACATTTGCACTGTAAACTTCAAATGCCTGGAGCCTTGTAATTTCCTCTTTTGATAATTAAGTTCGTGTTCTATTATGCACTCAAGTCTGCTAGTGTAGATAAGCATTCCACAGATACGACTCAATAATCCTGAACGAACTGCAATTGAAACAAGAGAGATTGTGTCAGTGTGTGTCTACTCACACGCAGAAATAGATAAATCTATAAATATGCATGAGCAGAGTGGGAATCACCTGCTATAAGGGGATCGGCTTCTATCCCTCCTCCGGCGATGGAGAGAACGAGAATTTTCCCTTTTCGTACCCATCTCGGATAATTACTGATCCACATTCTGAATCAAACCACAAATGTCACCTGCAATATCCACCATAAAAATTAAAATTGAAGTCCATCCCACACCAGCAACCTACAATATTTTCATTTCAATTTAAAATATACTAAATTGATTAGAATGATTGGTAGATAAACGAAATAGGAGTATTGACCTGTCTTCTGAAGTGCATTCGCATCCAAGAAACGTGGTTTAATTAAAATCGTCAAAGCCCTCCACCACTTGAATGGTTGTGATTACATAACGTGGGTTAATGGCAAGAAAAATGGAGTTATTGTTTTTTATTTGGTTGTGCAAATCATCTATTTACGAACATAGTAAACAAATATGTAAGTTGCAATATACATGTAGCACAATCGATATGTAACTGAAAGTGAAAAGAGCGAATTATCATTTGTGGAGTGTATATATATATAACCCTGAGGGGTTACTCAATTGGTCAGTCCTTAGATTTGCTCCCCAATGGTTACCAGTTCGAAT